GAGGAGAGAGAGAGGGGGGGGGAAAGAAATATCCGCATATCATAATAGGAATATCAGAGGAGATTGGTTCATTTGTGCGAGTCTCTCTCTCTCTCTCTCTCTCTCTCTCTCTCTCTCTCTCTCTCTCTCTCTCTCTCTCTCTCTCTCTCTCTCTCTCTCTCTATCTATCTATCTATCTATCTATCTATCTATCTATCTATCTATCTTTTCTGTCTGTCTATCTGTCTGTCTGTTTCCTCTCTCTCTCTCTCTCTTCTCTCTCTTCTCTCTCTCTCTCTCTCTCCTCTCTCTCTCTCTCTCTCTCCTCTCTCTCTCTCTTTCTCTCTCTCTCTCAGTATTAATGTTTACAAAGGTCACTCCTTCACTCTCTCTCAGTATTAATGTTTACAAAGGTCACTCCTTCACTCTCTCTCAGTACTAATGTTTACAAAGGTCACTCCTTCACTCTCTCTCAGTACTAATGTTTACAAAGGTCACTCCTTCACTCTCTCTCAGTACTAATATTTACAAAGGTCACTCCTCACTCTCAGTATTAATGTTTACAAAGGTCACTCCTCACTCTCAGTATTAATGTTTACAAAGGTCACTCCTCACTCTCAGTATTAATGTTTACAAAGGTCACTCCTCACTCTCAGTATTAATGTTTACAAAGGTCACTCCTCACTCTCAGTATTAATGTTTACAAAGGTCACTCCTCACTCTCAGTATTAATGTTTACAAAGGTCACTCCTCACTCTCAGTACTAATGTTTACAAAGGTCACTCCTTCACTCTCTCTCAGTACTAATATTTACAAAGGTCACTCCTCACTCTCAGTATTAATGTTTACAAAGGTCACTCCTCACTCTCAGTATTAATGTTTACAAAGGTCACTCCTCACTCTCAGTATTAATGTTTACAAAGGTCACTCCTTCTCTCTCTCTCAGTACTAATGTTTACAAAGGTCACTCCTCACTCTCAGTATTAATGTTTACAAAGGTCACTCCTCACTCTCAGTATTAATGTTTACAAAGGTCACTCCTCACTCTCAGTATTAATGTTTACAAAGGTCACTCCTCACTCTCAGTACTAATGTTTACAAAGGTCACTCCTTCACTCTCTCTCAGTACTAATATTTACAAAGGTCACTCCTCACTCTCAGTATTAATGTTTACAAAGGTCACTCCTCACTCTCAGTATTAATGTTTACAAAGGTCACTCCTCACTCTCAGTATTAATGTTTACAAAGGTCACTCCTTCTCTCTCTCTCAGTACTAATGTTTACAAAGGTCACTCCTCACTCTCAGTATTAATGTTTACAAAGGTCACTCCTCACTCTCAGTATTAATGTTTACAAAGGTCACTCCTCACTCTCAGTATTAATGTTTACAAAGGTCACTCCTCACTCTCAGTATTAATGTTTACAAAGGTCACTCCTCACTCTCAGTATTAATGTTTACAAAGGTCACTCCTTCTCTCTCTCTCAGTATTATCCAGTGTTTACTAAATAACACAAACATTTGCACTTACTTTGGTTGGATTGCGTTAGTTACCTTTAAATTTCCAAGCCCTTACGGGTTTCGCACATCCTTATGAATTTCTGCTTGATCTTGTTTTGTTTTTCTTGCACTCACTTGTTTAGTGGTTGTAAGGGATCTCGAGTCCCAGCTCCTGGCCCTGCCTCTTGATCCAGACTGGTGTCACTCGCTCTCTCTCACTCTCTTTCTCTCTTGACTTCTTTCCCCTCGTTCCCCCATCCTACCTCTCCCCCCTCCCTTTCCTTCCCTCTCCCCCTCCCTCTCCTTCCCTCTCCCCCCTCCCCTTGATGACTTTCTTAAACAAATGAACAGCGTAGCACTTCTTGGGAGATATTATCACCTCTCCCTCTCTCTCTCTCTCTCTCTCTCTCTCTCTCTCTCTCTCTCTCTCTCTCTCTCTCTCTCTCTCTCTCTCTTTTCTCTCTCTCTCTCTCCTCTCTCTCTCTCTCTCTCTCTCTCTCTCTCTCTCTCTCCTCTCTCTCTCTCTCTCTCTCTCACTTCCCATCATACATCACCTTGCAACTTCCTCTCATTACCACATTCCAACTTCATCTTCCACTGCTTCCCCTGTGAATATCAGCCTTTCCAGACTGGCTGGCAGACTATCTGACTGGCTGGCAGACTATCTGACTGGCTGGCAGGCTGTCTGGCTGGCTGGCAGACTATCTGACTGGCTGGCAGGCTGTCTGGCTGGTTGGCAGACTATCTAGCTGGCTGGCAGGCTATCTGGCTATCTGGCTGACTGGCTGGCTGGTCATGCAGATAGTAGGTACCTCGGGTCGACCCACAACGATAACGATAAGGGTAACGGTGTATCATCTACACTGAAGGTGATACACTGAGGTGTGTACTGACCCACTGATGTTTAGATGGTGTCGGACTCCTGGGCCATCTTCCTACACTGTTTTTATAGGTATCACTGATTATCATATCTATTCTTGAATCTGTGTATTGAGTTTGCCTCCACCACTGCCTTATTAAAGTCATTCCACTTTTTTTTATCAGCCTGAGACTAAAAAAATACTTCCTAACATGCCTACGGATTATCTCTGTCTTCACATTCTACCTGTGTCCCCTTGATCCCGGTCCTCTTTATTCATACAATCTGTCTCTATCAGCTCAATCAATTCCTATCAATATTTTGTATGTAGTAATCATGTCTCCCCCTTGAACTTCTCTCCTCTAAGATGGTCAGGTTCAGTTCCTTCAACGTCTCCTCGTAGTGCATTCCTCTCAGTTCTGGTACTAGTCTGGTTGCAATCTCTTCAAGTACTTGACCAGGTGTGGGCTCCATGCTGGGGCAGCGTACTCAATGGCTGACTTAACATGTGTCGTATATAAGCTTCTGAAAAATTCTTTATTCCAGTTCCTGAACGTTGTTCTGATGTTTAAGCTAACACATGCTGCTGGCCTTATAAGGTTTATGTGTAATTCTGGTGATGTGTTCGGTGATATGTTTACCCTCAAGTCTTTTTTTATCTGATATTTGTGGCCTTTCTCCTCCCATGCTGTACTCTGTGTCCGGTCTGCCCTCTTCTTCTCCAGTTATTGTATTTGCTGGGGTTGAACTCGAGAAGCCACTTGTTGGACCACATCTGCAGTGTACTCACCTAGTTGTGATTGTAGGGGTCGATTCACAGCTTCGGGCCCCGCCTCTTCGCTGGTGTGTTGAGGTTTCTCTGCAGTTATCAATGTCCTCTCTTGTTCTTATTCTTCTCAGTGGTTTTTCATCATTAACAAACAGTGACACAATGGACTCAGTCCTTTCTGGCAGATCATTTACATATATTAGTAACATTAGTGGCTTTAAGACTGATCCTTGAGGAACCCCACTCATTACTCTCTCCCATTCTGATGTCTCATCCTTACTGTTACTTTCTACCTTCTGTCATTCAGGTACTCCTTGAATCACTGGAACACTCACTGGAACACTGAAACACTCACTGGAACACTCACTGAAACACTCACTGGAACTCACTGGAGCACTCACTGGAACACTCACTGAAACACTCATTGAAACACTCACTGGAACACTCACTGGAACACTCACTGAAACACTCACTGAAACACTCACTGAAACACTCACTGAAACTCTCACTGAAACACTCACTGAAACACTCAGTGGAACACTCAGTGGAACACTCTGTCTAGTTTCTTCACTAATCTCTGGTATGGTACTGTGTAAATACTTTCCTAAACTCCAAGAAAACACAGTCCACCCAAACCTGTCTTTCTTGTTTTATCTCCGTCACTCTGTATTAGAACTCCAGCAGAACTGTAAGACAGGATTTTCCATCTCTAAATCCTTGTTGATCGTCTCTGAAGAATATCCTCCTTTCCAAGTGCTCCAATATTCTTTTCCTTAATATCATCTCCATAGTTTTTAGGCAGCTTGTGTGTATTTGTATGTATGTGTGTGTACGTATGTGTAGATTAGTTAACATTTTGTCAAAGGCACATGTCGATGAGACACCCGGCCTGTTCTGTGTGTGTGTGTGTGTGTGTGTGTGTGTGTGTGTGTAGCTGACTAATTATCAATTCATTCCACTAATCACTTAGCAATTATCATCACAATATCATTAAACACGCAAGAGAGGTTCACCCAGCCTTGTTTCCACGAAATCTAATTATGCGAACGTCACCCGCAGATACGAACATCACCCGCAGATACGAACATCACCCGCAAATACGAACGTCACCCGCAGATACGAACGTGATCACGGCACAAGAAAGTGTCACGTGATCTAGAACTGACCTAGACCTATTCCAGTTATTGTTTATGTCCCTGTGGTGAGACAGAACAGAGAGGGGCAGAAGAGAGAGATGAAAAAAAAAAAGAGATAGTAGAGACGAGATGGAAAAGAAGAGAGAATGGAAGAAGAGAGAGAGTGAATGGAAACGGGAAGAGAAAGAAAGGAGTATGAGAGAGGGGAAATGAATCGAATGCAGGGGGAAAGGGGGAATATGAGAGGAGACTGGGGAAGAGTAAAGAAAGAAGATGGAAGAGGGGAAAGGGAAGAGAGAGAGAAAGAGAGAGAGAGAGAGAAAAGAGAGAGAGAGAGAGAGAGAGAGAGAGAGAGAGAGAGAGGAGGGGGTAAAGAAGGAGCAGTGAATCATGTCTGTCTCGTGGAATGTCGTGTTTAGATGAGTGAATAAGTGAGAAGATAAGGATGAGTAACATGATGAGTTATCATGTCGAGGGGGGAGGGAGGGGAGGGAGAGAGAGAGAGAGAGAGAGAGAGAGAGAGAGAGAGAGAGAGAGAGAGAGAGAGAGAGAGAGAGAGAGAGAGAGAGAGAGAGAGAGAGAGAGAGAGACCTGCCTGATAGCGAGAGATTGGGGAGGGGGGAATTCGGGGAGTAGAAGTAGATTAGACGGTATGATAACGAGGTGTTTCACTCTCGACCCACCACCACCATCACCACCACCACCACCACCACCACCACCACCACCACCACCACCACCACCATCACCACCACCTCCCGCAACGAGGCCACACTCAGAGTCCAGCTAGACTGTATCACGAGACCAGACTGTTGCTGTCCTCTCCCTGGCACCGCGAGGATTTGACTCGAGGACAGAGCCAACATCGTGATCTCACTCTAACCAGAGCTCTTTCTCAACACACTCCTGGTCTTCCAGTCTTAATCTCCTTATAGAGTCAACTCTCTCTCTCCCTCTCCCTCTCTTTCTCTCTCTCTCTATTTTGCCGTCAGTGGAACAGTTTAGTGTGAACAAAGACGGTACTCCTAAGTACCAGTGTTGAACAAGCTCTATACTCGTAACTATCAGTGTTGAACAAGTTCTGTACTCGTAACTACCAGCGTTGAACATGCTCTATACTCGTAACTATCAGTGTTGAACAAGTTCTGTACTCCTAACTACCAGCGTTGAACATGCTCTATACGCGTAACTATCAGTGTTAAACAAACTCTGTACTCTTAACTACCAGCGTTGAATAAACTCTGTACTAAACCAATTTATAAAACAAGCTCTGTGCTCTAACTACCAGCGTTGAACAAGCACCGCAACTACCAGCGTTCAAACAAGCGTGAACCCCAGCACCCAGCGTTACAACGTTCATCCTCAAAAAACGAAAAGTTCCAGGAAAGTTCAGTTGGTCTGAGGGATGTTCATCAGAGCAACAAGCCGGTGTTATCATACTCAATAACACCATCTATAACACCTTGAAGAACTTTCTGTACATTAATCTTGAAAGTCCTTGCTAACAGAGGCTAAATTTTCCCCGTACTGGATCGTCTTTTTCCTTCTTAAACACGTATTTAAACATCTCAGAGTAATGAAGGTAAGTCTTCCAACTTTGAGGGGGGCGAAATTAGTTTCTTAGTCTTCCATTCTTCCCCAGCTTTCCGATGGTACAGTGACAGTGTCACTGTAGACGGCTGAGTCTGCAAGTGTCTAGCTGTTACGGGGACGGGGATTGACGCCAGGGTGACGGGGAAAAGACGTAGAAAAGCCAGGAGTTTCGACGGTGTGACGGTCGCTGTGTTGATATGGCGGCTGTGACGTCACTGGGGGGGTTAGATCAATGACGGGTTCCAACACTCGTAGTTCAGGAAATTCTCTTAAATATAACGAGCTTCTTGTTTACTCGTTTTAACGTGTGTTTATCTCTCGGTTGTCGTGGCTGCCCACGAACCCCTGTCGTTCAGAGGGGTTTTTTTTTGGGGGGGGGGGGCGGTGTGAGAGTAGCAGCTGGTGCGACAATCTTCAAAACCACGAATAACAGAGTTTAGGTCTCTGGTTTCCTGAAGAAATTGAAAAACAAACTTTCCTTTGGGAAGAATAAATTGCTTCTCTGACCTGAAAATATTCATATTAAACAAAAAAAAATCGATGTTATATTCTGCAGAAACACAGAGATTATCATAATTTTGAATTATTTTCTCTTAGCTACGTCTATGAGATTCTTTTTTTTTCAAAATCTTAATTATTTAATTATTTTATTTTTCCGGGGGGGGGAAGTAAGAATTTCTAACAACAACAACAACAACAACAACAACAACAACAACAACAACAACAACAACCCTTTGACTAACCATGGTTTCTCTCGGCCCTAAATAACATTAAATCCGAAAAAATCTTGTCACGTATTGTAAGAGAAGTTAGGTAAAAAGGACACAAGTGCAACTAATGTGACATTTTGTTGTGGCAACGTTTCGCTCACCAGGAGCTTTGTCAAGCCGTTACAAACTGTACAGAGTGAGGTGCTCTTCACCTCACTTCCTACCTACATATATACCCTCTGTGTCCATATATTGTTTGTAACAGCCTGACAAAGCTCCTGGTGAGCGAAACGTTGCCTCAATAAAATGTCACATTAGCTGCACCTGTGTCCTCTAACCTAACATAATGTCGGTAATTCTAGCAACATTATGTTAACAGAGAATTAAAGAATACCAGAAGTGTATTAGAAGAGCTAAACGCGACTATGAAGTTAAAATAACTTATAATCCAGAATAAATACAAAATGGTTCCTTCAAGTGTATAGGGAAAAGATCAGGAAAAAAATAAGATTAAAAACTTAAGTTGATAAGTTTATTGATTATGAACAGGAAATCTGTGTTTTTTTTCAGTGGTTATTTCTTGTTAGTCTTCAGATAAGATGATATTAGTAATATCCCAACGATTATTCAGATCCTGAAGAAAATAAATTAATTAATATTACTGTCACGAGGGAAATGGCTATCAAATAGGTGGAAAAATAAGCAAAATAAGTCCCTGGACCCCAACGAACTTAGTCAGCCGCTAACAGCGTGTTTAATGCGTCTATCTAAAGTGGTGTTGTGCCAGAGATGTGGAAGATGGCTCACGGAATTCGTATATTTAAATCAGGGGATAAGTTAGTTCCCTCACATTATCGTCCAGCTTGTCTGATGTCTATAGTAGGCAAATTATTAGAGTCAGTTATTGCTGATATTATTAGAAGTCGTCTTGACGAGCCTAATTTGATTTCATACGCAAATAATCCGCACATAGAAGAGAGGAGCTAACGACGACGTTTCGGTCCAATACAATGGTCCAAGTCGGACCGAAACGCCGTCGTGAGCTCCTCTCTTCTGCGTGCAGGTTATTTGTGTATTGTTCCAGTCACGGTACTGTTTCTCTTTTTGTTATTTATAATTTAATGAATCTCAGCATGGATTCACGAGAGGCCGTTTCTGCCTAACAATTTACTGACGTTCTTTAATAAAGTATGTGAGGCAGTAGCCAGTGATAAAGAATATAATATTGTTTATTTGGATTTTAGTAAAGACTTCGACAGAATACCTCACTAAAGACGTAAGAAAAGTGGCAGCTCATGGTATAGGAGATAAAGTTCTAACAAGGATCGAGGCATGACTTACCAATAGAAAGCAGAGAGTTTCCATCAACTCTGAATGGGGACCAGTCACAAATGACGTTCCACAAGGATTAGTTTTAGGCCCATTGTTGTTCCTAATTTATATTAACGACTTTGACGAAGGAATTACAAGTGACATGAGTAAATTCGCTGATGACATTAAAACAGGCCAAATAATAGGTTCTGAGCAGGATACCATTGAACTTCAGGAGGATTTGGACAAGTTAATGTCTTGGTCTGAAAAGTGGCAGATGCAGTTCAATGTGGACAAGTGTAAAGTAATAATCCTTGGGAACGAAAATAACCCTCATAGTTATAAACTAGGTGATGTGAAGCCAAGATAACAGTGCCTAAGTGTGCGTGGTAAGGCTAACAGATTGCTTTGATGTCAAGAATATAAGTATCAGGCGTCCAAAAGTCATTTTACAGCCGTACACATCACTAGTGAGGCCTCACTTAGATTACGTAGATTAGATTTGGTCTTCATTCTGCAGAATGGATATAAATGCATTGGAGAACATACAGAGAAGAATGACAAAATGAATCCACTGTATAAGGAATCTTCTATGTGAGGACAGATTCAGAACCTTCAACCTTCACTCTTTTGAGAGACCTGAGAGACCTGAGAAACCTGAGAGACCTGAGAGACCTGAGAGACCTGAGAGACCTGTTCACCAATAACTCTACCTCATTCTACCTATAACTAGTTTCCCTAAAATTAAACAATATCGCTACACTGAGAATTATTGTATAATAGTTCATTGCTTTCCCACAAAAACCCATACTACTAACTATTTCTAGTTTAAGAGGCACTAAGTTCCCTCGTCTTCTAATAACATGTTCATTTTTCCACTATAATCTACCTTGTCCATAATTACTACCACATTTGCTTTGTCTGTTTCGTAAGGTGAAGTCCAGAATCTTGACTTAATTCATGGTATAACTTAACAAATCTTTGATGACAGTTGTGTTGTAGAGGTGTGAGCGAAGACAGACATAGCAAATGCGATAGTAATAATGGACAAGGTAGGTTATAGTTGAAAAAAGAACATTTTATTAGAAGACGAGGGAACTTACGTGTCCCTTAAAACCCTAACAGCTCCCTCCACTGCACTGGCCAGTGCCCCCACACCAGACCTACATAAGTGAAAAACATCCCTGGCATACATGTCATTTCTGCCATAGAAGAGGTCCCAGTTGTCTATGAATGGTACTGTATTGTCCTTATAGTGTATGTCCAGTTAACAATTAGCAATAATTGCCCTGGATAACCATTCATTTCCAACTCCTCTCCTTGGCAAAATACCATATACTACAGGGCTCCCTCCCTTCTTCCTAATTATGTCTATCACTGACCTATACCTGCTAATCAGGTCCACACACCTACGCCTGCCAACTTCGTTGCCTCCAGCACTGAGACAGATAATAGGATTGCTCCCATTACCTCTCCAGATGGCTAACGATATCATACATCCCAGTCCCTGAAAAACACACCCTCTGCCTCCTCTTCCTATCACTGAGACGAAATGCCCTATCCATAAACTTAACTTGACTGTCGCCAACTAAAACAATGCTCTTACCTTCACTGGCTGTGCTCGTTTTGACGTTCTCGAAAGTCTTTGTAGGGATTGTCTTTGCTGGGTTATCTTCACTGGCGGACTTCGCTGTGCCGAAACGTTGGTCTTTGTCGGAAAGGTCATCATTGGAGGGACCTGGATAGTCAAATTATATTCGCCTGATAACAAGAAAAAATAGTTGCTGGTCGTCTCAGCAGTCTCCTGAACCTTCTTCGACTTCAGTTCCAACTAGCCATTGGTCCAATCATCGACGTCGTTGTTGTTCCGAGGATAATTCTGGCACATATCTCTCAGTCATTGAATTTCTATTCTTGCTTCCATTACTTCTTCCAGGTGAAGATATAGCTGCTTATAGTCAAGGGAAGCTATCATCTCAATCTTAGTCAGCTAAAAAAAAGAACACACTATATATATGTGTATATATGTATATATATATATATATATATATATATATATATATATATATATATATATATATATATATATATATATATATATATTATATAAATAAAGAGAGAGAGAGAGATAGGTAATTGAACACGTTAATATCCATTTGTTTACGGTGTGGCTCAGGAAACCGCACAAGAGTTATGTCTTTACAGCTGGTACTGGTACATCAGAGTATCATTACATGTGATGCTGGCACCTCAGAGTATCTATACAGCTGATACTGGCACCTGAGGGTATCTATACAGCTGATACTGGCACCTCAGAGTATCTACACAACTGATGCTGGCACCTCAGAGCATCCCAGATAACGCCAATAAAAACCGTAGGAAGGAGATGTAAAAACCAGAAAAGCACAGCAATAAAACGTACGATAGTTTTACCAAATGATTACTGAACAGTAGAAGTAATAACAATAAACATATATTTTGACGAGAAAAAATAATTAACAGGTCAACGAACGCAATGTTTACGTAGAGAAAACGTCGAGATGACCCACTGGACGATACCCAGGACGATACCCAGGACTATACCAAGGACGATACCCAGGAATACCCAGGACGATAGCCAGGACGATACCCAGGACGATACCCAGGAATACCCAGGACGATATCCAGGGATACCCAGGACGATACCTAGGGATACTCAGGACGATACCGAGGGATACCCCTGACGATACCCAGGGATCCTCCGGACGATACCCAGGGATACCCCGGACGATACACAGGGATACAAAGGAATCGATGAGAAATAAGGATATGTAAGTTAGAGGAGATCCTTCAGCGAAGGAGAGGAAGAGAGAAAGAGAGAAGACTAGATCAAGGCAGCTAAGAGGTCAAGTGAGGATAAAAGAGGTGGAATGAAAGTGTTTCCACAGCAACTAAGACGTAGCAACTTATAATAATAACAACATTACTA